TAAAACTGCTTTCCCCCAATACCACCAAGTCATCGCAAAAACGAGTTTTATTTTAAGGCCCTACGGGCAACAATTTCATCGCGGTAGAGTGTATACCATATGTCAGTGAAGTACAAGAAATTGCGCAAATTAGTAAGTTAAGTAGACCTACAAAACTTGTTTGTACAATTTTGGTAGTTAACGTTTTCATGGATATGATATGCACTCTAACACATGTAAACAGCGTTTTGGCATTAGTTAACGTGATGTTTTCATTCATTGCATTGTCTACCGGTAAAACCACCATGGTATCGTAGAAATGTTATTTTCCAAAATGGCTGCCATAGCTTAGACGCCTGAAAGTGAAAAGGGAAAACTAAAAGATATCGCCTAATGTTGAATATTGATTATAATAAGTATAAATAATTATTGATAGCATCCTGTGGGGCATGTATGCCTAAAGCTAGAATTAAAATGGTATCTAAATATCAGCCTCCTTGAAGGGTTTATTTGTTGTGCAATATGAACTCGTGCAACGACTGTAATGATGAGAGAAAATTTTCCAAATACCCCGAAGAGAGTCATTCGTATTCTGTGCCGAGGAAAGACAAATACGTCAAAACTCGTTTGAAGTTTCTCTACACAAAATTACTTATTTATTCTTTTTTTATTCACATTTCTTTTTAATGGTTAAGGACCATACCTCCAGACCCAATGCTGAAGCGCAAAATGGCAGCGCGAAGCTTTTACGGCTACGCCGGAGATTTCGACCCCGACACCGCTATCCGGGAATTACAGACTGATCAGGAAGCTCGGCCGAAGCCTAAGGGAGAGGTTAGTCGGCCCCTAGACCATCGATGATTAACACCTTGCTATGACCAGCATACCTAGAGAAGCGTATATCTTAAAGACACTAGGCTCATGCTAACGCCTTTATTCTTGTGGRATGGGTTTTCGGAATTTAAACTGTTCAAATGACATGCGCAGATGTACACTGAGAAACGTTACTTTCTAAAAATGAGCAAAACCCGTAATGAGAAGTAAAGATGTGGAATTTTGCGGTACTTTTATCGTGAGTCACGTGAACTTTTMCCGCCATTTTTTATTTTATTCACTAAAGATCGCATGACTACGATCATGATCCTTCACAGCCTTTGCCCTTCAAAGATATTCCTATGAAAACGTGATAAACCTCACTGATGAAAATTCAATCAACTCGCTCCAAATTAAATTATTTTTATAAGCTTTGATATTTTGTTTGATTTTAATTTTAGTAAGTTACGAAATAAAATTGCTCTTCCTTGAATCGAGAAAAGGGAAATCATTAAATGATAGAGGCATTTGGAAGTCCTTGCATTCAAGTGCTAATTGAGATAAATTAAGGGTTCACGACAGTGTTKCAGCGTTCTTGTGTAGCGTAGCAACGGGGATGTCTACAAATTTTAACCAAGTTTTATTTTTGACACAAGTTTTCAAAATTTCCATTCAATTCTTATTGCGAGTGAAATCATAAAATCGTAAACGAAAGAATGAGAGATTTAGAAGGAGAGAAAGATGTCTTCTAAGAGGAGAGACAGTAAACCTGTTTGACCGTGGAAAGGGACACTACAAGCTTCACAAATGAGTGACRGAAAAGCTGTATCAATATTGACATTATTAGATTGATTGACCCGCATGGGACGTTTTTAGCACTTGAATGTGAACATTATCTGCTCATGTGCAGTTCATCATACCTTGTGTCAACATCACACTTCTTTAATATCTTTTACCAATGTGGGATGCTCTTATCTGTCGATACCAGCTAAACAAACAAGCCCTCCATCAGTATACTATATAACAGGGATTTGCACCAGAGGARAGTCACACTTGTTGAGTACAAGTAAAACTGTAAACATGAAGCTGAGTCTTATCCTTTTGCTGGTGTTGGCGTCTGTTGCCTTGTTCAAGGCAGAAGAGTTGCCTGAAGA